GCGCACACACACACACACACACACACACACACACACACACACACACACACACACACACACACACACTCTTCAGCCAAAACAGCTCATCTCGATGCCACCTAACAAAAACAAAAACAAAAACTCCTCAATAGCACAAACGTTTGTCTGTAAAGAATCAATATCAAAGCCATAAGGGATAAAGGATCAAGTCAGAAACGGAGGGTGGACTACACAAGTTAATGCGCAAGCAAGCTTGTGTTCCGGAGCGGTCACCGCTGTCACGGAGGAAGGAGAAGAGAAGACGGACCCGACAACTCCGCGGCCGGGCATTGGCGACCGCGACCCAGGCTCCCTCACCGGCTCGCACGAAGAGCCGGGCTGCTCTTATTTATCCTCAGTCGACCTAGCACGAGCGTCGGGAGCAGCGGCGGGTGTCCCGTCCTCTCTCGCCACTTGCGAGGCTTCCGAACGAGGACCACGACCCCACGAAGCCGCCTGCTACCACCACCACCACCGTAACCGCCACCCCAACACACACACACACTACCCCCTCCACCTTATTTTTCCCTCTCTCCTTCCGAGTCGCCACATAAAAGATGTCCAATGACACGAGCAGCCCGCTCACCCGGGTGGTGCATGAACGTCGCACGGCGGACGGCTCCGTTCCGCGGCTGCCTCTCGGCCTCTGGCGGTCCGCGGCTCTTCAGTAACCTCGACGGTTTTCGGTTTTCAAAGTCCGGGGAGGGGGGTGGTGAGGGAGGGAGAAGGGGGGGGGGGTCGTCAAGACTGTCCGTTCCGTATCTCCAGTCTGATGGGAGCGAGAAAGCGAGCGAGAGGGGAGGAAGCTTATGGGAAATGTAGTGCTCCACTATCCACGCCCAGGATTAGACGCTGCGGAAGCAGGCGGGGATGAGGACTACAGGGACCACCTTGCAGCGCGGCGCCACAGCCGCTTCAGGAGGCACGAGGGGGGATCGCGTCCACAGCATAACGGCGGTGGGGTTGTTGGTGCGACTTATCTGAGAAAAAAAGCTCCTTTTTGTGAGTGGGTCACCAAGTCATAAACTGTGACTTTAAAGTTACGAGTTTTGACCGGAAGCCAAAGGAGAAATGTTGTAAATCGAGGAAATAAAGTGTGGGAGAGCGTTGGGCTCGTTGGTGAAGATGAGGAAACAAGTGTGTTGAGAGGAAGGAAAAGAGCACATGCGCGTTTTCATGGAGATGTTCCAATCTCATGACACGTAAATTGTGATTCAATGTCACTGCAGTAAATTCACTTAAATCCATCTGGGTTCACCTGTTATTGTGTATATTTAGAGCTTTACTACTTTTTTTTTTTTTTTTGCAACTGTGGACCCAAATCTGAAATTTGGTGCCACAAAAATCATACCATGCAGGCTGATGATGTGGTTCGCACAACTGCCTTAAAATTCTCAGCTTCTGGGTTTGAATCTGGCCTTCCTGTGTGTAGTTTGCATCATCTCCCTGCGCTCGTGTTGTTTCCTCCATCCACATTTCATTCCATATCCCAAAACAAGTATGTTAAATTGACTTAAGACTTGTCCATGGATGTGACTGTGAGTGAATGTTTGTCAACTAGTGCGCTGTGATTGACTGACAATCACTTCAAGGTGCAAACCGCCTCTTGTCCAAAGTCAGGTGGGATAGGCCACAGCTCAGGTGTGACCCTCATGAGGACCGCAGTGTGGAAGATGGATGAATGGATTAAAAAAAAAAAAACATGATACCATGTTTTCAATGAATAACAAAATGATTCAGTACGCATGAGCGAGTTTGACAATGAATACTAAAACAGATCCACTATTTGGGACCTGTTTTGGTACTGGACCCCAAAGTCTTGAAGGCACTGATTTAAAGAAGACGCTTTATACACAAGCATCCATCAATTTTCTACACCATGCTGCCAACCACAAGCAACTCAAAATGTTTGCTTAGGAAAATTATCACTTGTGTCTCTTGTTCATCACTTGTTCATCAAACTGAGCAGTGTGATATCACAGACCCCAAATTGCAACATACATTATTGCAAGACTTGCAAGGCTACCAACCAGGAATAATAAGCATCACGGAACATGCACGGCCATCTTTTTGTCTATCATTTAGAGCGGTGGTTCCCAAACTGTAGGTCTCAAAATGTCAACTTTTATTGGGTCGCTGAAAAATAACTAACTAACTAACTAACTAACTAACTAACTAACTAACTAACTAAAGAGAGAGAGAGAGAGAGAGAGAGAGAGTTTTTTAGGCATGTCAAAATCGAGATAGGATTTTATTTTAGTTTGTATATTTGTTGTTTTAAAAAAAATTCAAAGGACAATTTGAATATAATACAATTATCGCATATGGCCTGATTGACCCCTAGATATGGACCTTTGACTCTTAAAAAAATTATTTGTGGCCTTTGAAGATTTGTATTTTGAGTAACCCTGAATTGGAAGCATGTCTCAGTATGTGCAGCACCAATTCTACACAAGTGCAAAATACATCCATCCGCCCATCCATTTTTTTAACCGCTTTATCCTCACTAGGGTCGCAGGGCATGCTGGAGCCTACCCCAGTCTTCAGGCAGTAGGCGGGGGATACCCTAAACCGGTTGCCAGACAATCGCAGGGCACACATGAATGAAGAACCATCCATGCACACACCTAGGGACAATCGAGAGCACAGGTGTCGAAGTCCGGTCCTCGAGGGCCGGTGTCCTGCATGTTTTCCATCCCTCCCTGCTGCAACACACCTGATTCAAATGATCAGGATCACTATCAGGCTCCGATAGAGCTTGCTGATGAACTGATCATTTTGATCAGGTGTGTTGCAGCAGGGAGGGATGGAAAACATGCAGGACACCGGCCCTCGAGGACCGGACTTCGACACCTGTGATCTAGAGTGTTCAATCAGCCTGCTATGCATGTTTTTGGAATGTGGGAGGAAACCGAAGTACCCGGAGAAAACCCACGCAGGAGAATATGCAAACTCTACACAGCAAGGTCGGATTGAACCCATGACCTCTGCACTGTGATGTCGACACGCTAACCACTGGACCACCGGACCGCCCGTGCAAACTACCAGCACAGCATATTGTCTTTCTCACAGCGTCAATCAAAACGGAGCATTTTTATGTTTTTAAAGACAGCTATAGGTCTTGTATAGGTCTTGTATTTTATATATATATATATATATATATATATATATATATATATATAAGCGGCTGGATAGCTCAGTTGGTAAGGCATCGGTTTGGCGTACAGGAGACGGTGGCTCGAATCCCGCTTGGGGCAAAAAA